GCTGGTTCCAGGGGGAGGGGAGGCGCGGCTGGGCGTGAGGAGGCCGCTGCTGCTGGGAGCACGTGGTTGCCACGTGGTTGGGGGAGGGCGGGGGTGTGGGCTCGGTCCACATCCGGGGCTCGCTGGTGACTTGTCACCTCCGGGCCTGGGGTCCTGTGTGTAGTTGAGAACTGTTGGGCGAGCGGTTTTGGTTGAATTGCATGGTAATGCCAGGTTTCTGGAGGTCTTTGTTCGGCGTTTCCATCATTTCTTACTGGTATTTCGCGTCTTCAGAGCACTTTCTCATTCTCACTGCTGTAGATACAAATTTCTCTACGTTGCAGAGAGTAATACCGGTAAAGATGTCTTCCCAAATGTACAAAGTGCAACAAAATATGAAGCAAGACTCTTTGAGTCCAGCAGGTTCTCTGTATGTAGAAGTGAGGTATTTCGTAGTTTGGGGGAAGGAAGATGGAGGCTACCCTGTGTTGCGTGGAGCGCAGAAAGTTTTAACGAAAAAATGCTGCAGGTTGAATATCAGGCTACCACCACCCCTGCCCCCATTACTCTTCTACGCCACATACTGTTCTTAGGAGAGTCCTACTTTGATTTTCAGCCGTAGTAATTTAATTGTGGAAGCCTCTTTGTGCTTTACTTGGACGTGCAAATCCTGCTCCCGGTTTCATCCTGTTGATTAGCCATGCTGAGATTTGTTAATTGAGCAATAGCATTTGAGTACAGTGTTTATGTAGTAGTAATTGTCAGATGCTTATTAAATGGAACCATGTAAAGTTAAGTTTTTGTTCTGATAATATTTAGAACAGTTTTTTCATTCATGGAGTGGGAGTAGATAGCTGCGCTTCCAAGTTTGTACCCAATTTGGATATTTAATTTGTTAACAATTTAAAAATTTTGTTAGGGTATTGGAAGCTCTTGGATCAGTTGCCTGCCACTGAATCATTGAGCATGTTTCCATCTGTAGAATGGTGGTACTTTAAGTTGAGAATGAAGTAAAACAAGAAAGTGGAATGTATAAAGAGTTTTATGGGTATTGTCTGGTGTATTCGTGTTTAAGAATCCGGGAGGAGGATTTTGCATTGCCCTCTGGTAGCTAGAGTAGTGAAAAACTAGTTCACAAGGTAACCCTTACCTTTTGGTTACTAACGCTTAAGGCTTAGTGTTTCTCTGTTTTACAGTTCGATTTTTCTTTACAGGTTGTGAACTAAAGGCCGACAAAGATTACCACTTCAAGGTGGATAACGATGAAAATGAACACCAGTTGTCATTAAGAACGGTACTTACCTTTTTTGTAAAATAAATTTTTCTAAATTTTCGCCTTTTAGTTCCTACTTATGTGGCTTAACACTTGCTTCTTTGCTTACAGGGTACTGTTTTTTGTAACCAGGTAGTGAATGTACATCTATGTATATCACAGAAATTCACTTTTTTTTATTCACAGGTCAGTTTAGGGGCTGGTGCAAAGGATGAACTGCACATTGTTGAAGCAGAGGCTATGAATTACGAAGGCAGTCCAATTAAAGTAACACTGGCAGCTTTAAAAATGTCTGTACAGCCAACGGT